GCAGCCCAGACTACAGGTGGACACCACCATGCCTGGCTAATTTTTGTATTTTTTTGTAGAGACAGGGTCTTTATGTTGCCCAGCCTGGTCTTTGAACTCCTGGTCTCAAGTGATCCTCCTGCCTCAGCCTCCCAAAGTTCTGGGATTGTAAGTGTGAGCCACTGTGCCCAGCCCACTTTTTCTTATGTTTGTAGTATAAGAACAATAGTTACTCCTTTCCCATATACAGTTATATTATTATATCGAATATGACTTTCCAACTCCATGTTATCCTTGTTCTGCCAATCTTAGGAGTTTCTGAAATGCCACCTACTCTCAATTAGGAAAAATTTCTCATGTATTGTTGCTTTAATTGGCCTATTTAGGTTGGTAAGCTGTATTCCAGCTTGAATTCAAGGAGTCTAGTTAGAAGGATTTATCCTAGGACTCACTGTGAGGCAAATAAGTAAGTTAGCTAGCATCCAGCTTGAATCAAAGCTCTAAGCCTGATAACTTATTTAAGCCTCACAAAGAGAATACTGTATAGAATTCTTTTCTTGGAATTGGTCAAGAGCTGAGGTAGATGTGCTGGTATTTTAGTTTATCAAACAACTTACGATGTAATAGGCATTTTGCCAGGGCCAAGCACTGTTGTGTCAACACCACGGTGGTTTATCCAGGGAGCTTTTTCCTCCTCCTCTAATGAGCTTCTGGTTTAAAGTAGGCTTTGCTTTCCCCGGGATCCAGCTAATAATGAGTATTTAGGATGTGCCAGGTGCTCTGCTGAGTGTTTTAGCAAACTTTTACTTTCATTTAATAAACCTCAAAATGACCTCCGTTGTTATACAAAAGAGAGAACCAGGAGAAGTGAAGGGATTTGCCCAGGGTCTTCCGGTCCATGGCCGGCAGAGCCAGGCTTGAAGTCTGTTGCTTGTACCGTGTCACAGTACTGGGTGTCATAACCCAGTCCTTCTACCCAGTCTAATGAGAGTCTTTCATGTGCAATAATTGCAAAGCCCTTGGGAATTCTTTACAGCCTCCAGGTTTTTCCTCCGGCTTTGCCCAGATTAGTGAATCTCCTAGAAATAGGGAGATTCTCTGGCCAATTTCCAAGCATTTAAACCTCTTTAGAGTTTAAAGAGTATTTATCTCAGTTATGGAAATGTCCCCTGAAATACATGAATACTGTACCCAAATAACTAAGAGTTAGAACCCCGGGCCCAGGGCTTCCCGGCCCGTGCAGCGGAGCAGCAGCCGTTAGCTTCCTCCGCCGCCGCTGGAGTCGCCCTCACGTTCTCACTAGATGTAGGTATCTTCTCTTCTGTGAAGACTGCCTTTAAGAAAACATTCTGTATTTTGGCAATTTCACTTTCCAAAAGATTTCCTTCATGAGGTAAATGTTCAGATTTTATAACTAATCCTTATATGCTCCCTCTGACGTCTCCGAATCGTATCCCTGATTGTCCCTCCTTCCTCCCTTAGAGATTCTGCTGCTTTCCTGATTCTACAGCCCCTTCTCCTCTCCAAAACTAAAGAGCAGGACCTGAGATATTCCAGGGTGTTTCTCTTTCTCCCTCGCCCATCGAGGCTGAGACTGTGCTGAAAGGTTTGCAGGATAGAGATCTCACACCTTCCTGCCGTGGCCGCTGTCGGTTTCTTGTCATTTCTTTTCACTAGACTCATTTATGTCTCATTTTAATTTCTGCTTTTCTCTTTCTCTGTTGTCCCGTGTACCTTTCATGTCTTTTAACCCTCTGGTTTTCCGTTTGTTTAGTTTCTCTGCAACTAACTTGCTTTGTATTTGAGTTAACTCGTCTATAAAATGGGCATAATACCAGTCTTTACGACATCAAAACAACGTTGAGGAGCAAAGGATCATGCCTGTAAGCACATTTGGAAAACAACAACAACAAAGATTCAGTTGTGAAAAGGTATTATAATCAACTCCAATTTGATGAAAATATCCAAAGACATTAACGTATGTCCTTTATTCAATTTTGGATTAAAAAACATGGTGCAGTTGCAGTGTTTTCTTGGTGTTGGTTATAATAGGATTTGCTGTGTATTTTTCATCTCTTTTGTCACTTTTTGGACTGTTGCGTGAACCTTCCTTACATTTTCTGTGGTTATCTTTGAATGTTGTAGAATCCTGGGAGGGTCCAGAGTGAGCTTGAAAGAGCTTTCCCCCACATCCGTCCATCCAATTCTTTTTTTTTTTTGAGACAGAGTCTCACTGTGTTGCCCTGGCTAGAGTGAGTGCCGTGGCATCAGCCTAGCTCACAGCAACCTCAAACTCCTGGGCTCAAGCGATCCTCCTGCCTCAGCCTCCCGAGTAGCTGGGACTACAGGCATACACCACCATGCCCGGCTAATTTTTTCTATATATTTTTAGTTGTCCAATTAATTTCTTTCTATTTTTAGTAGAGACGGGGTCTCGCACTTGCTCAGGCTGGTCTCAAACTCCTGAGCTCAAACAATCCGCCCGCCTCAGCCTCCCAGAGTGCTAGGATTACAGGCGTGAGCCACCGCGCCCGGCCCTTCCATCCAATTCTTGTCTGCTTTCTGTCCTGTCCTGTCAGCCTTTCCTCATCCGATGGAGGCCTTTGGACTTCCCTTGCCATCACAGGGGACTTAGGGAACAGGCAGTCGGCAGTTAGGGTCCTCACGCTAAGCTCAGAGCCCAGCACGCCCATGGCGAGCCGCCCTTTCTGCTGTGCGTGCTGGCTCGCCTGTGTCTGGAGCTCCTGCCCTGCCACTTTCTCCAGGCTGCTCGGAGGCCCCCTTTTCCCTGTGTTAGGCTGACAAATCCAGTGGCCCCAAGGGCATCTGGGGCCAGTCTCAGAGCTGTGTTTGGAGCTGTGAACTCAGGCTGTGTCAGAGGAAGCTTGGCTTAAGTATGAATTGACCTATCGGGGTAGAATCCAAGGTCCTACGGTCACCTGTGGAAGCGAGGTGAAACTTGGAATGCAGTGCCCACTCCCCCTTTCTCCTGAGATATCTAAACCCACCTTGGTTGTGAAATTTGGGGTGGTAAAATGGGAGTGAATTTAGGGAGAGCTGTGTCTGCCTGTACATTCGGGGGCCTGATGGAATGGTTTCAGCAGACCTGAAGTCTGATTCTAGTGAGATATCTGGGCAAGTGACAACCTCTCTGAGCCTGTTTTCCACCTATAAAATGAGAGAAACCTACCAAAAAGGTTCCTTCAAGCATTTCAGCGAGGCAGCACTCAATACCAGCTCCTGTGTGTTGACACTAATTTCTACATCCATGGAGCAGAGAAGATAGCATCGGGTGTGATGGATGCAGAGGAGAGGGAGGGGGTCGAAAAGGGATGATTATTGCGGGAAGGTGATGAGAGCTATATCTGTGCACCATGGCTAAGCTGTGACAAGAAAGCAGAGAGGTGTAAATGCCAGGGCGGGGGATGAGAAGCAGGGAGGTTGGGGGAAAAGCCAGGGCCAGAAATGGAGTGTCCTGTCCTGTGTGTCACACTCCTGGCAGCTGGGCATGAGCCAGCTTCTCATATGAGCTTCCCCTTCCACGGTGGTCCACAGAGCTAGCAGCCTTGCTGAGCGAGGTACGTGCAAAAGCAGCAGCAGCAGGTACCATTATTGACTAGACAGGAGTAGCTTCTGTCACAGCCACGCTCACTGTTCAGTGTTCCAGGGAGGGATGCAGAGTCCAGGGCTTGGTCTGCACCCCGCTCCTCCATCATTCACTCCTCTGTGTGCTCTCTCCAGCGACACGGGTAACTCCGTGGGAGCAGAGAATTATCTCTGCCCTCTTGTGTCTAACACAGTGCTCTGGACACTGATGTTAGGTAAATGTTTAAGCAAAAATAAATGTATTATTCTGGAGCACAGTGTCTTCCTTTGCTCATTAAGCGATGCCACTGATCCAAAAGTTCTTTCCAAGACAAGCTCCTTGGGAGCACAGTGCTGGGTGTGAAGAGGACAGGTGCTATAGAACTGCTGCTTCCTGCCACAAAATAATTGTGCTAAAAATTTCATGTTATTGGCCAGGCGCAGCGTCTCACGGCTGGAATCCCAGCACTCTGGGAGGCTGAGGCGGGAAGATGGCTTGAGATCACAAGTTCGAGACAAGCCTGAGCAAGAGTGAGATCCCGTCTCTACTAAAAATAGAAAACATTAGCCCAGCGTGATGGCGGGCCTGTAGACCCAGCTACTAGGGAGGCTGAGGCAGGAGGATCGCTTGAGCCGGGGAGTGTGAGGTTGCTGTGAGCTACGATGACGCCATTGAACTCTACCCAGGGCAACAGAACCAGACTCTGTCTCAAAAAAAATTTTTTTTAAATTTATTTTAGTTGCAAGTCAGGTTCAACCGAGGTCACATGGCTTGTGTATGGACTCCTGGTTCAGGGCTCTTTCCCTCCCCTGACCCAGAGATCTGTTCCTGCCCACAGGCCGGGCCTCCAGCAGGGCGCCCACTCGGCAGAGGTGGCTCCTTGTCCCGCCCTCCTGCCTCCTTCCTCAGTCCCGTGCCGAGCACCTGCTGCGTGCCGGAACATTTCCAGATAAGCTGGTGCGCGCTGTCCGTGAGGCGGAGAGCGAGGCGAACGGGGCTCAGATTCCCCCCGAGGGCGGGGGGTTCACTTACGGAGCCCTCTGCTGCCCGGCACTTGGCTGGGCACTGTAAAAATGCCCGTGCAACGCGGCAGGAGGGCGCCTCTCCCCGACTTTTGCCCTCATAAAGACGCTCGGAGGGTGAAGTAACTGCCCGCTGGCCGAAAGCCGGCGGGAGTGGCGAGGGAGGGCAGGGGACCGGCTAGCCGGGTGCCTGAGGCGGCGGGCTTCGGTGCCCACGTGCGGACAGGGCCTCCGAGGTGGGGTCCGCGACCCGGAACCTGGCGGCGAGGGTCCCTCGGGGGGCGGGACGGCGGCGGGCCGCGGGGGCGAGCTCGGCTCCCGGAGGCAGGCTCCGCCCCGCGGCGCGGGTTTAAAAGCGGGGAAGGCGGGAGCGGCCCGGGAGCGCGCTGGAGGAGCCGCCGCGGGGCGCAGCCATGACCCGGCGGGCTGGGGGCGCTCAGCTGCTCGGCGCGCTCCTGCTCGTCGCCCTGCTCGCTGCCGGCGTCGCCCCGCTCAGCTGGGATCCCCCGGAGCCCCGGAGCCGAGCCAGCAAGATCCGAGTGCACCCGCGGGGCAACCTCTGGGCCACCGGTAAGGCTTCGGGGACCCAAGCAAGCGCCCCTCACCCTGCCCGGACCCCATTTTCCTTCTCAACCCTCTGGCCTTTCCTGAGCCACAGACACTAGTGCCCGAGCAGGTGGGGACCCTGAGGCTCACCTAATTTAATAGATGGGAACTTGAGACCCAGACAGGTCAGTGACTTGGTTAAGATCACTCAGCCAGTTTAAAGCAGAGCTGGGGCTAGATCTTACATCTGACTGCCAGCTGGTGCCCCTTCCCAGATTTTGCCGACTCTTGTAACCTCTAGTGTGTCTTCTCTGCAGCCCCACCTTCCGGGCGCCTCTTTCTCCGCTTCTTTCTTGCCCCTTCCCGCCCCTCCGCCAGGCAGGCAGCACAACTAGCGGAGTTTCTCCCTGATCCCGGACTATCCCACCCTCCTTCCAGCTGTGCCATCCTCTCCACCCGCTCCACTTGTTCTGGAAAAGCCGAGGTAGCAGGCTTTGCCACCACCCAGATGTCTTTGTGGCTTGCTGGTGAAGAGGAGGATGAAGGTTTTATATCTACCTGCCATGAGAACTGAAATGTGGGGAGATGGGGAACTTTCCCATTGGGGTAGCATCCTCGCTCCCTGACTTCTTTGTCCCTCGGCACCTCCTTTTTAGGTCACTTCATGGGCAAGAAAAGTCTGGAACTCTCCGGCCCATTCCCACTGGGGACAGCTCCCTACACTTCCCTGAGGGACCAGAGACTGCAGCTGAGTCATGATCTGCTCAGGATCCTCCTGCTAAAGAAAGCTCTGCGCATGAGTCTCAGTGGCCTGGCACCCCACACCCAGGTGAGCCAGGCCCCCACCCCAGAACCCAGAGGGCTCAGCCAGGGCCACCCCTGGATCCAGCATGCGAGGAATTATCACCCAACATCAGGTTTAGGGTGTGACTGCCCACCCTTGGGGATGGGAACCCCAGAAAGCCAGGGTTCTAGGCTCTCCCTATGACCCAGGGCTCAAAGGAGGAACACTTTAGAAAGGAAGCTGACCTTCCCAGTAGACCCCACAGAGCAAGAATTAGGGAAAGAAGTGTCCTCTCGCTCATCACCCCATCTAAAATCTCAGACTAGGATCATCCAGCCTCTTGCAGCAGGATCTTTCTTCTCCAGACCACACAGCCCTGTCTCACCCTGGCTGTTCCCTGCTGCATTAGTCCATCTTTGCTGCGCCCTGTGTGTGCCTGTGGCCAGACTGGGACCCTGTGGCCCAGAGAGGGGAAGAGAAGTCAGTTGGTAGCCAAGACAGAGCCCGAACCTTGCTCACCTGGACCAGCGCTCTTTCCACTCTCGTCTGCCTCAGTAACCAGGGGCAGGGTTATCAATTTCAGCACTCTTGACATTCTGGGCTGGGTAATTCTTTGTTGTGGGGGCTGTTCTGTGCACTGTAGGATGTTTAGCAACATCTCTGGTCTCTACCCACTAGATGTCCATAGCACCTTCCTTCCTCCCAACCCAAGTTGTGACAACCATAAATGTCTCCAGACATCACTAGATATGTCCCCTGGGGGAGAGGGCCCCAAACCACTCTTGGTTGGAAACCACTGACCTATGGGATTTCAAGGCCCCAAAGCTGGAAGCAAGCTTGCCTTAATGTCTAGCCTAGTTTAGTGGCAGCTCCTCCATTCCCAGCTCCTAGCGCTGTCCCCACTGCATACCACCCTCCCTGGTACTTGTTGCTGTGTGCACAAGGCAGTATGATGTGGTAGAATGTGGGATCTGGCAACAATGTGCTAGGCTTATAACCTAGCTACTTGAGTAGCTAGGTGACCTTAGAAATCTCACTTAACCTCTCTAAGCCTCATCTTCCTCATCCATAAAATGGAGATAATAATAGGCCATCTTCCATTAAATGACACCATTTATGTCACATGCTCAGCATGATGCCTGGTGCATAAAAAGCCCTTAGTAAATGGGAGCCCTTAGCAGTCTGTGAGCTACCTGTTGCTGACTCACTTTTGTATCCCCCACTGTGCCTAGCATATAGTGTGACATTTTGAAAGAAGGGAGGGGCATTCCCCAGAGAAGGTCCAACCCCAGACCCAGCCAACATCCCTGACTGCCTGATGCACAGAACCACCAGTCCCTGGGGACCTCAGAGGTAAGGGCTAGGAGCTTGGGCTGGTTGAGTGTGAAGGGAGATGATGTCACTTCTAGGTCCTAGGTTTTGAAGGCCTGAAACATGCAGACCAACTAAGAGAATCTCAGAGGAAGCAGTACCTAGCCCTGGGGGTGGGGCTTCAGAGTGAGGCCTGCTGCAGAGCTGGGCTGGGGAGTTGAGGACACCGACCCTGGCCCAGCACCAGGCACTGTACTTGGATTGACTTCCATGGTCTTCTTTCAACTGTCATGACTACCCTGTGAGATTGGGGCTGTTTTCTGAGAAAACTACTGCCCCTGACCCCTCCCAGCCCTTCAGGGTCCTAGGGGGCCTACCTCAGCTGACAGCCTGGCCCTGCCCCCCTCTGCGGTTGCCTAGCACTTAGGAATAGCAGGACGCCCCCATCATTTGTCCCCCCCACCCTAGGTAAATTCTTCTGTATGTTCCCCTTCAGTACAGGAGGCTGCTGATGCAAATACTGCAGGAGTGATGCCAATACTGGGGCAGACATGACGACATTGGAAGGTGCTGAATGGGACCCCAGTGGTGGCCTCATCTGGATATGAATCCCGAGCTCGAATCTCTGTTACTCCATTACTGCGATTTCTGGTTGGGTTGCTAGGAATATCGCTGAGGCAGATGCAAACTATATTCCTGCTGTATTTCTCGCTTCCCTGTTGAAGTTGTGAATAAAACGCTGCTCTTTACATCACATGTCTGGTCCTCTTCTTACAGCCACGTTTGGAAACAATGGGAGGGAAAGGGGGATGTAGGGCAGGGTGCTCAGTGAGATGGGGCTAGCTCCAAAAAGTCCCGAAAGCTCCACGCCATGGCACCAGCCCGGCCCTGCCTCTGGACTCCTACTCATCCACTCACCCAGCAAGTAGTCAGTGCCTGCTGTACGCCGGCCCCGTGCCAGGCGCCGGGTTCCACTCTCACCTCTGCCACCTCCTGGCCAGGCGAGTGTCTCCGGTGTGTCCTCACCAGGAAGAGGGGGTTGCCTACACTACACTCCCCGGCTCTACCTACCGTCTCACTTCATCCCACGCCAAGCACTGCGGGGAGGGCTCAGCACACTCAGGGCGGAGAGCAGAGTTGGGATCCAGACCCCGCCGTCCGCTCACTCTTCTCTCTGGCCTGGAGTACAGTTGCCCGAGTTAGCAAATAAACATACAGGACACCCATTTAAATCCGAATTTCAGATAATAATTTTGTCGTATAAAATGTCCTAAATATTGTACGGACATACTCATTTGAAAAAAATTATGGTTTATCTGAATTCGAACTTTACCGGGCGGTCCTGTGATTTGTCTGGCCTTAGGGCACCGACTGCCCCTCTCTGGGCTGCAAACACCTGGTCTTAAAACGGGCGACCATTTGGTCCCTCGGGCTCCGCTCGGAGCGAACATCGAAGAAGCCCTGATTTTGTGTCACTTTTCCCGGAGCTTTTTCGCAGAGAAGCCAGAACCCCGGCCCGGCGCGGGTGCAGCAGCCCTCCGACACCGCTCGGCCCCGCCCCCGGCGGAAGCCGCGCCCACTCTCGCGAGAGGCCCGCGCCCTCCGGGAACCCGCAACGGCGGAAGTGGGGAACCGGAAGCGGCCGTTGCCATGGAGCCCGCGGAGGAGGACTGGCTGGTGGAATCCCTGCGCTTGTAAATCGTGAGGGGTTGGGAGTCGGGATCTGGGCCTGGAGCTGGCTCCGCGGGCGGGTGGGTGCGGGTGGCGGCGCGCGGGGACTCCTGGCGTGGGCTGGGCCGGCGGTGGCCGCGAGCTGGGCGGATGCGGAGGACTCCGCCTGGGCCTCGGCCCCCATGTCTGGGAATGGCACCCGCCTGCGTGCGCAGGTTGTGTGAGGTGCTAGTAAGAGCAGCGCTTGCGGAAGATAACGTAAGTGACCAGTTATTTTGCGCTGGCTTCTGAGTTGAGCCCTGAACACAAGATTATCTCATTGATTCCTCACATCAACCTTGGGAAATCTGGGTACCCTGGGAGCTCCACAGATGAGGACCAAGCCTCAGGGAGATTATGTGACTGGTCTGGTCCCAGACACGCAAGGGATAAAATGGGAAACAAACTCGGTCCCACGTCTGCCTGACTCCAGAGCCTGGGCCCCTAACCACCGTACATGCGGCTGCCATCTGGGAGTTCTTCGACAGCTCTGAAGTGCTGTGCACCGTGTGATTTTGTGTCCCTATCGTGCAGGTATCAGGATTTCTATGCATTTGACCTCTCAGGAGCCACTCGAGTCCTTGAATGGATTGATGACAAAGGTGATATGCCTTGCCTGGCCCTGAGGGAGAGGGAATTGCACTCCTCATGGTTTCAGGGACTCAGCCCAGATGGACCCAATCGGCTCTTCTCTGGGCTTCTTGGTCACTTGTAGCAATTTGATGCTGTGTCAGCACCTATATTCCTCTTCTTACTAAGCTCTTCCATCCCCTGATACAAGGCTGCACACCAGCGAGGAAGGAATTTATCCTTGCGCTGGGGGATTTGGTTGGAGTTTATAGACCCAGCCATGGTCTACAGTCTTTCTAACAATTTGTCACAGCTACTTCTGCTTCTTTTTCCAGGAGTCTTTGTGGCTGGCTATGAAAGCCTGAAGAAAAATGAGATTCTTCATCTGATATTACCCCTCCGGCTTTCTGTGAAGGAAAACCAGGTAACGTGAAATATAAATGCTGAGTATATGTGTCTGCTGTTATTTATGTAGCTCCTGTTATCTACCAGGTATTGTCCTGGATACTAGAGAGAGACACAGGGCCTGCCCTTATAGTCTGATGGAGAGAGGCAAATGTGTACAGAGATAAATGCTGTAGAATGTCCTGTGGCTTACACAGGACTACTAGAGGAAGAGGTCAGTTATCAAAAATGGATTTAGGGAGCTGTTATTATGGTATATAGGGTAGTTGAAGCCCATGGAATGGTTAAGATTGTCTAGTGAATGTGTACTGTACAAGGATTAATAGGAGAATACAGCTAAGGACAGAATCTCAGGGAACACATTCTAAAGGATGGGTACAGGAAGATGAACACACAAGGAATACTAAGTGGGAGGAGTCTTGGAAAAGGTCAGTGTTTCAGAAGCCAAGAGAAGAGAACATGTCAAGAAGAAAAGAGTTGGTAGTTAACTAATGTTGCCTCATTCAGATGAGGATTGAAAAGTTCATTCATTGGACTGGCAGTTGGGAAGCTCTTGGTGACGTCTGCCGCAGCATTTTTGCCATTGGTGGTGGTCATGGCCAAAGACTGAAAAGGAAGAGGAAGTAGAGTCAGGATACGTAGGGAGGGAAGAAGCTAGAGCAGTAACTAGTAGGAAACACAGATTTGAGGGAAGGTTTCCTAAACACAGAGGCTTGAGCAGAGTTACAAGCTGTGGAGAAGTAGCCCCCGAAGAGGGAGAGGATGAAAATTCAGGAGTGAGGGAATAACACAGGGAACCCGCTTTTACTTCCAGGGAGGGAGGATGAGGGTAGATCAGGAGTCCCCAGGATGGCACTGGTCATCAGAAGACAAGGGAAGGGGGAGGTATATAGGCAGATAACCTTGGAGGCCCATGTGGGGGCAGCAGTTTGAGTGTTTGTTCCTGAATTTCTTAAATTCTTTAATTAAATAAGAAACAAAGTTATCTTAGGGGTGTGACCATGTTATGGAGTTGAGTTTAGAATAGAAGAAGAGGCTAGATAGGGACATAGAAAGCCCAGGGGAGGCTGGAGCCTAAGGAATCTGTGTGGCCCAGTGTTTCTTAAAGTAGCCTGAGACCACCTGTATCAGAGCCATTAGGGGTGCTGCCTAAATCGCACATTCCTGGGCCCCTCCCAGACCTACTGAATTAGAATCTCAAGAGGTAAGGCCCAGAAAAACAAGTTTGTACTCACAGAACCTAGAATCTACGGAAACTATAGGGCAGCCTGGCCTTTGTTTCCCTGGGGGAAGTTACCTACCTGGTGCTCTTGGTTCCCCCATCTCTACCACTCAGGCTTGAGCCAGGGGCTCACCCAGACTGAGCCTTGGGGAGAGACCTGATTTATCTCCCCTCTCCCCACTGGCTTTTCCTCTTTTCTCTTAGGGCTCGCTCCTTTTCCCCTGTTCCAGTTCCTTACATGGAGATAGTAGAGGCTAGTGCCTAAGAGCACAGACTGTGGTTAGACAGACTTAGGTTCAGATTGACAGCTTAACACCTGTGTGACCTTAGAAAAGTGGGTTAAGCTCCCTATACTTTAGTTTTGTCATTTATAGAATAGGAGTAATTATAATACCTAGGTTACAGAGTAGTTGTAAGAATTAAATGTGAATTAAACAGTGCCCGAGAGAGTGAACAGTTGATAAGTGGCAGTTGTTATGTTTTTATTGCTAGAGGAACCCACCTGGCTTCCAGTGGGAGAATGGGGGAGAAATGGGGGAATGTTCGTTGGCTGGTGGATCCCTGCTTTCTGGGATGAAGCTGTTAAACCTCTGTGACTCCTCTAAGGAGGCCTGGAGTATAATGCTTGTACTGTAGTGAAAGGGGTTGGTGAAAGGCTAGGAGAAGGGTTTTGGATGTGCAGGGGAAAAAAGGAAGCTGCATATGTAGGCACCTGAGACCTCCATTTCCAAACAGCAGCATACCAAGGCCCTGCAGGGAAAAGTGTCTGTCACCAGCTGAGGGATGTCCATGGCCTCCTGCCAGGCCAGGCTCTGACTCCTTACCTGGAGTTCGTGTGAAATGTTCTTGTGAAGAGCAGGCTCTGTCTGATTGGCCGCCCGTTTATATTTTAGGGCTTATTTCCAGAAAGAGATTTCAAAGTGTGCCACGGAGGATTTTCAGACAGGTCTGTCTTTGATCTGAAGTATGTACCAGATACCAGGTATGGTGGATTCTGTGACCCAGACCTTCCATTCAAGGCGGGATGGCTGGAAATGCCCAGGGGCATCCTGCGTGTTGGCCCCACCTCTCAGCACGTGGCTCATGAGTGCACGCACTTGCGTACGCACACACAGATTTAGAATACAAAGAAACCATTGCTGTGGCTTCACAGTCCCCCACAGCCCTTTTGACTGATGTAACCAACAGTTCACTGGAGTTGCTCCAGGGAACAGCTAGAGGGTAGAAGGATGCTCTTAATGTCTGCGAGAGCTGATGGTGGGTAGTTGGGTGATGATAGTTCAGTTGGAAGAGGCTGAGAGTCTCTGGGTCAGAGCTGTGTGCTCAGGCTCCACACTGGTACCCTCTCTAGGTGACCATCGTGACACGTGGCCTGTCCCTAAAGCAGAGTGAGCCTGCTCCTCATCTGTTAAATGAGGGTGGCTGGTCTTGATGATCCTGCTGTAAGATTTCCTGATGTGGGGAGTGGAGTCTCAAGCTCAGTGGGCTGGGGAGGGTCAGGGACAAGATGTCTGGACTAAGATTTTCTATCTATCCTGAATAGCTTGTTGGTGACCAGTGGCCTTCCAGGTTGTTACCTGCAGGTGTGGCAGGTCACAGAGGACAGTGGTGAGTAGTGAGCAGCTTCACTGCTGTGAAAAGGCAGCTCTTGTTCTCATTTGCTTTCTGAGGTTACTGTGGGCTTCCCTTGTTGTTTTCCTTGTCACCTGTCCTGTGGTTTAACATCCAGCTGTTTGTATCACTTGTGGTTGTGATGGTTTATTTTTTTATAATTTTATCGAGGTATGTTTTACATGTCATATCCACCCATTTCAAGTGGAAATTAGTAAATTTAACAAGTTGTGCAGCCATCACTATAAATCAGTTTTAGAACATTTTCATCACCCCGATAAGATCTATAAGGCCATTTGCTATTAATCCCCCTTCCCACACCCTGCCCTGGGCAATCACTAGTCTACTTTCTGTTCTATAATAGATTTGCCTTTTGCAGACATTTCATATCACTGGAATCATACGATATGTGGCCTCTTGGGCCTCTTGTGTCCAGCTCCTTTCACCTAGCATAGTGCTTTTGAGGTCCATCCACGTCATAGCTTGTGTATGTAGCCGGTTCCTTTTTATGATGGAATAGTATTTCACTGTATGGACATCACACATTTTGTCTATCCGTTCATAGGCTATTATGAATAATGTTGCTAAGAACATTGATGTACAAGTCTTTGTGTGGACATGTTTTCATCTCTGTTGAGTAGACACTGAGGAATGGAATTACTAGGTCATATGGTAAATTTATGTTTGATTTTTTAGAAAACTTTCATACTTTTCCAAAATGGCTTCATTTACATTCGCGCCAGCAATGTATAAGGGTTCTTGTTTTTCCATGTCCTCACCAACGTTTGTTATTGTCTGCGTTTTTTATTAAAGCCATTGTAATGGATGTGAAATTATGTATCATTGTGGCTTTCGTTTGTATTTCCCGAATGAGTAATAATGTTGAGCATCTTTCCATGTGCTTGTTAACCATTTGTATATTTGCTGAAATGTCCATTAAGATCATTTGCCCTTTTTTTTTTTTTTCTTTTGAGACAGAGTCTCACTTTGTTGCCCTGGCTAGAGTGAGTGCCGTGGCATTGGCCTAGCTCACAGCAACCTCAAACTCCTGGGCTCAAGCGATCTTCCTACCTCAGCCTCCCGAGTAGCTGGGACCACAGACATGTGCCACCATGCCCGGCTAATTTTTTCTGTATATTTTTAGTCGTCCAGATAATTTCTTTCTATTTTTTTTAGCAGAGACGGGGTCTCGCTCTTGCTCAGGCTGGTCTTGAACTCCTGAGCTCAAACAATCCACCCACCTAGGCCTCCCAGAGTGCTAGGATTACAGGCGTGAGCCACTGCGCCTGGCCCTTTTGCCCATTTTTTGATTGGGTTGTTTGTCTTTATTGAGCTGTACATTCTGGGTACAAGTTCTTTATTAAATATGTGTTTTGCTAATATTTTCTCCCAGTCTGTTGCTTGTCTTTTCATTTTCTTTCTTTTTTTTTTTTTTTATTTCAGCATATTATGGGGGTATAGATGTTTAGGTTATGTATGTTGCCCTTGCCTCCCCACTCTCCCCCAGGTCCGAGTTTTCATTTTCTTAATATGGTGTCCTTTGAAGCATAAAACTTTTAAATTTTGCTGAGGTCCAGTTTATCAATTTTTCCTCTTAGGGACTGCACTTTAGGTGTCATAGCTAAGAAATCTTTACGTAACTCATAGATTTTCTCCAATTGTTTTTCCAAAAGTTTTATTGTTTTAGCTCCAACATTTGAGTCCATGATCCATTTTAAGTTAATTTTTGTGTGTGGTATGAGGTAAAGGTCTAATCTTTTTGCATGTGGATATCCAGTTGTCATAGCACTGTTTGTCAAAAAGCCTACCCCTTCTCCATCGGTTTGCTTTGTTGCCTTTGTTGAAAATCAATTGACCATAAACGTAAGGATTGATTTCTGCATTCTCCTTTCTGCTCCGTTGATCCGCTTATCTGTCCTTATGCCAGTAACTTATAGTTGTTTTTTATCTTTGTCCAAAAACAGGCTGAGTGGGGCAGCAATGGTTTAAAAATGAGACGGGGAAGAATCTTACTAACCATTTGGGGTTTCTTTGGTCCCTACAGTACATGGGGACCAGGTGTCACATAGAATCTGTAGCCTCAGGCCTAGAGGAGTTAATGGCCCAAGGGTGCTTTCTCTGACACTCATCTGGGTGTAGAAAGTCAGATGAAGTCACCCTCTTCTAGATAGTAGTAAAGAATATCCCAGAGCTAAGGGGAGACTGGCCAACTATTTTCCTAGAGGCCTAAATCCATAATGTTATCTTGGTGAATTTTCCAAGGTCCAGGAATGAACCCACAGCCTTGGTGTCTCAGAAACCTGATTTTGTCAACACATCTAGAACAAATTGAATCTGTTTATAGGGGCAGACACACTTCCCAGACTCACAAGACAGCTGTATAAACAAGAATGCAATTCTGTTAGTTTATAATGAAAATATAAGTATCACTAAAAGTGGAATGTCCCAGGTCCTTATGACTGCAGAAGAGCCAGCCTAATCAACGGCTGCATGATAAAGGTAACCAGAACAAGAGGAATCAGCTCAGAGGTTTCCAAATTGCTTTTCTGTAAGAAATCTTAGGCACACACAGCATGAAACCTGGGAAGGCATTGCTGCCCGCGCCCCTGGGGCTGGGGCTGGGCCTGAGGCCTCTTCTCTCAGCTCTGGGGCTGTAGAAACCACTGGGTTGGATGAATACAGTGTCCAGGGGTCTCAGCTGAATGTCACTTGCTGCTTCCACTTAGAACTTAAATATTCAGCCCGGGGGCTGAGCACTCAGGGAGGCTGAGGCAGGAGGATTGCTTGAGGTAAGGAGTTCGAGACCAGCCTCAGCAAGAGCGAGACCCCATCTCTACTAAAAATAGAAAGAAATTAGCCAGGCGACTAAAAATAGAAAAAATTAGCTGGGCGTGGTGGTGCACGCCTGTAGTCCCAGCTACTAGGGAGGCTGAAGCAGGAGGATCGCTTGAGCCCAGGAGTTTGAGGTTGCTGTGAGCTAGGCTGACGCCACGGCACTCTAGCCCAGGCAACAGAGCAAGACTCTCTCTGTCTCAAAACAAACAAACAAAAAAACCAGCCTGTTGGTTCAGCTCTCTCTGTCCTGGACAGGCCTCAGCGTTGTCTTTGCCTCTGTGGCTGAACAGCCCCTCATGGACACCACTTTCCTGTAGACACGTTATAGCATTTGCTCGGTGTTGCGGGTCTGGAAGCCCTTCTGGCTCCTTAAGTTACCTTTGCCTGCCTCTGCTCTGACCCAGTCTGCGTTTCTCTAGTTTTTAGAGACAACCTTCTTTCTTTTACTTCCAGGCTCATGGAGGTGCCTTGCTGTGCTTTTGCTTTGATTTTGTAGTAATTTGGGGTTGGTTTTTTAGATTTGGTGTGGATTTCCTAGTGGAGGGCATTTTATCACTGACTAGAGAAGGGGAGACCTGATTTCTTTCCTGCTGTAGTTATAGGAGGCCCTCAAGCCTTTGTTTTCCACTGGATCTTTGAAGTAGGTCTTCTTCCTCCCATCAGGGGCCAGATCACATCTGGGAGCCATCCCCTGGCTCAGAGCAGCGGGCCCTGGGAGAATCTGTTCCAGGCTCCCCAGAGTCTGTGGAGAGGGAAGAATGAGCCGCTTGAGCGTAGCCCCACAAGAGTCAGGCAGGCTCTGCTGGGTGGGCTTGAATTGCGGCCTCATTGGCACTCCCTGGGGACAGACTGGTCCTGAGGGTCAGGTGTTGTGTCTGCCCCAATCCTCTGCAGCTCCTGTGGTGGGAGCAGTTAGGTTCAGCAAGTCTGGACAAAGTGCACCGAGAGTCCCGTGGGCTTTGGGAATAGTACCCAAGGGTCCGCTGTGTTCTAACCCAGCCAGACGTGTCTCGGTGCACTCCTTGTGTGGGCACCATCTCAAAGGAACGTGCTGCCACACACTTGATGAGCCATTCGTGTGTCGTGTCCTTCCCTCCTCCATTCCTTCCTCATTGGACTTACACCTGTCCTTTAGAATGGAAAATATATACAGATCTCCATTTTCTTCAGAGAATGTGGGAACCAACCGTTGAGTCCCCTCTTGGAGCAAGAAAATGTGAAATAGAAAATACGAATTTCCCTTTAAGTAGTTTGTACAGCAGACGGCTTGCTCTGAACTGTTATGGATGGTGTCTATTAAGAGAAGCCTCGAATTAGAATAGAGAGACGAGAACCTTCCTGCTAACCAGGGGCTGACACAAACAAAACTCAAATTCGACTCGAGGCAAAGTATGTCATTGCTCCATTCAGTGTAAAAAAGATGTGGAGTTTCTTGTCCAATTTACATTTTAAGACAACAACATCTGCAATGTAACCTTTGCTTGCTAGGCTTTAGCAAATTGCTTGAGGTCATGGAACGTGTTTTTGAAGAAATAATATTAGTTCATGAACTCTGTACCTGTTATTTTTCACTGAAGGTGTAAATGACATCAACAGGGTGTTCATTCTTTTCTTCTATTTGTTCTCCACGAAACTATAAAAAGCCAGACCACTTTGGAGGGTTTGAGATGACTGCTATGATTCATTATTTCCCATTTGCAAAATCAGTTCATAAGACAAATTATAAAGAAATTAAAGTGATTCTGACAGTTTCAAAAATGTCAACATAACCCAGAGTACTTATGTCTCAACATCCTCTCTTGCCAACTGGCAACTCCCTTTCTTCCTTGGCCTTCTGAATGTACAGGGGAAGACAGCTGGCTGGCCTCCACTGTGCAAGGTTTTTTTTTTTGAGACAGAGTCTCACTTTGTTGCCCGGGCCAGAGTGCCGCGGCGTCATCCCAGCTCACAGCAACCTCAAACTCCTGGGCTCAAGCGATCCTCCTGCCTCAGCCTCCCGAGCAGCTGGGACCACAGGCATGCACCATGATGCCCGGCCAATTCCCTCTATGTATTCTTAGTTATCCAATTAACCTCTTTCTAATCTTAGTAGAGATGGGGTCTCGCTCCCGCTCAGGCTGGTCTCGAACTCCTGAGCTCAAACAATCCGCCTGCCTCGGCCTCCCAGAGAGCTAGGATTACACGCGTGAGCCACCGCGCCCGGCCACTGTGGAAGGTTTTAAACCTGCCTTAACGTTCTGGATTTTAGCCTCTTTCCCTTTCGCCCCAGATGTCATTAAAGCTGTCAGTACCATTGCTGTACACGAGAAGGAGAAGAGCCTCTGGCCTAGAGTGGCCATTTTCTCCTCTGCGGCACCTGGAGTCCTCCACGGGGTGAGGCTCAGCAGTCTGCAGGTTGTGGATCTGGAATCCCAAAAGACCACGTACACTTCAGGTACAGCAGTGTACCCCGTGCCAGCGCCTCCCAGCCCAACTCAGCCACGCTGATGCTAGTCCAACCCTCTGTGCCAGACGCTGGGGAGACAGGATGAATAAGAGGCAAACCCTGGCCTCAGAGAGCTCCCGGGCTGGGCTGGGGAGAGGCAGTCCCAGGACCAGCGCCTGCAGCTGAGTGGACAATGGCACGATGAGCGGGAGGGGAGGTGGGATTCATTCTGCTTGGGACTGGCGGGAAGGGCCTTGTGAGCAGCAAGCCCTGCCAAGTTGCCAGACCCATCTGACTCCGGCAGCTTTTGTCCTTTGCCCTTGGTCTCCTAGGTGTCAGCGACAGTGAAGAACTGAGTAGCCTGCAGGTCCTAGATGCAGACACCTTTGCCTTCTGCTGCACCTCAGGCCGGCTAGGGCTTGTTGACACCCGCCAGAAGTGGGCACCACTGGAGACTCGCAGCCCCGGCCCTGAGTCCAGTGCACTGAGATGGTGTGCAGAAGTTGGGGGCAGGGGCCAGGGCCCTGGGCCCCGCATTGCCAGCCTTGGCTCGGATGGGCAGCTCCATCTCCTGGACCCCCGGGATCTCTGCCACCCTGTGAGCTCAGTCCAGTGCCCAGTGTCCACACCTAGCCCGAACCCAGAGCTGCTGCAAGTGACTTGGGCTCCAGGCCTGGACGATTGTTTGGCCATTTCAGGTACTGCTGAGCAGGATTTTATGTCTGTTATTTGATCGTTCTCTTCCAGGGGATTATGGAGTGTTCAGGAAGGAGCCTGTAGCCCCATAATAAATCTGGCTCCAGAAGTTAAAGCTGCCCCCAGAGAAGTTAACTCAGTGACAGGCCCTTCCCCACCCTGGCTCCTCAACTTCCACACTGGCAGGGATTCAGGTCTGAGGTCAGTTGAGAGGCCTGCAGATAGTAAGGTGCTGGGACAGCAATGGGGCTGTACCAGAAAGAAGAGGTGACAGGATCTCAGGGGTGCTTCTCAGCCTACTTGCTTTTCACACTGTAGCAAGCCAGCTGGGTCAGCAGGCTCCTGCATCTGGTCTGGTGGTCTCTAGTTGCATGGGGATATTTAATGAGGGTATCTGATAAGCCAATGGGGAGGGTCCATTGAGAGGAGGAGGGGTTGGAAGAATTGAGAGAGCAGGAAAGGAGGATCGAGTACCAGAAAAAGCAGAAGAAAAGAACCAAGCTCGGGGAGAGGGATTGGCTCTTTAGTAACAGGAAGACAGCAGGATGGGGTGGGTGTGTGTGTAGCTAGATTGTGTAGGGACATGAGCCCCTCTAAAGGCTTCTGTTTCCCCCATCAAGTAGAGGACAAGGCCATCTGCTGAGAGGGCCCAGAAATGCGGGGACTAGAATTTGAGGCAAGTTGAAAAGGCTTGAAAAAGTTTCTTAAGCCTCGGTTTCCTGGGGGAAAATAACAGTACCCACTTCATACAGTTGTGAGGATTAAAAGGTATAATCCGTGTCAGGATGAGCCTTGGGCCTGGCACATACTAGGTGTACAACAGATGCTTGTGGTTACATGCCACAGGGAGCGGTCAGCTGGCAACATTGAGGGCAGATGTTACATGCCCTCCAGTTGACCTTTATCTATCTTGATTCCTTGTCCTCTATCCTGTTTTGGTACCATAGAGCAAATTATAAAAAATATTTTAGGGCTGGACGCAGTGGCTCACGTCTGTAATCCTAGCACTTTGGCAGGCAGAGGCGGGAGGATCACTTGAGCCCAGGAGTTTGAGACCAGCCTGGGCAACAATGAGACCTCAACTCTACAAAAAATAGAAAAATTAGCCGGGCATCATGGCGCATGCCTGTAGTCCCAGCTGCTCAGGAGGCTGAGGCAGGAGGATCACTTCAGCCCAGGTGTTTTGAGGTTGCTGTGAGCTGTGATGACACCACTGCACTCCAGCCTGGGCAACAGAACAAGATTATGTCTCAAAGTATTTTAGGAATTCAGTGTCAATCCTCTTTCCTGTGTTCTTCCTCAGGTTTTGATGGGACAGTCCAGGTCTATGATGTCTCGTCTTGGGATGGAATGGGGAACGGAATAGAACCTCTCTTCACTCACAGAGGTCACATCTTCCTAGATGGAAAGGGCATGGACACTGCCCCGTTGGTCACCACCCACACCTGGCACCCCTGCAAACCGAGGACTTTGTTATCAGCAGCAAGTGATGCCTCTCTTCACGTGTGGGACTGGGTGGACCTTCGTGCCTCCCAGTGACACCAGCAGCATCTTTCTGTCCAGGCCTCTAGGAAGAGGAGTAGCTGCTGTGGCGGCAAGGGAACTGGTTGATGTAGGACTCAAGTGACCACAGGTCCCTGTTACCAGCTGTGTGGCCTTAGGCTGGTCAAGCAGCCTCTCTTAGCCCCCGGTTTCCTTATTTGTAAAATGAGGATAGTGACAACTACCTCTCAGGGTTGTTGGGAAGGTCAGAAGTAATACGTAGCACAATAAATTATTTGGTAACCACTGTTAGATCTGGGAGCCCCATTTCCCCCAAGTGTAAAATGGCGGCTTTTTATCCCTGTATTCTTCACCCTGTACCATAGTGAAAAGCAGAAGAGCTAATGAAAGCAAACATGTTTTGTGACCTTTTTTACAGAATAAAAAAATGTATAAGAGGCCGGGTGCAGTGGCTCACACCTATAATCCTAGCACTCTGGAAGGCTGAGGCGGGAGGATCCCTTGAGCTTAGGAGTTCGAGACCAGCCTGAGCAAGAATGAGACCCCGTCTCTAATAAAAATAGAAAAAATTAGCCAGGCAACTAAAAGTAGAAACAAAAAATTAGCCAGGTGTGGTGGCAAGCGCCTGTAGTCCCAGCTATTTGGGAGGCTGAGGCAGGAGGATCGCTTGAGCCCAGCCAGGAGTGTGTCTATGATCACACCGTTGCGTGCATGCATGCATAAATAAATAAATAATCAATCTCACTGTATCCTTTATTAAAGGATTTTCAGCAATTTTGCTTTTGAAATGATTTGATTACTAGTCACAATTTGGCCTTTGATTTGTTTAAAAATATCTCTATTGTGATAGAATTCACATACCATACAGTTCACCCATTTAAAGTATATAATTCAATGGCTTGTGGTATATTACATTAATTTTTAAAAATCATAAAATATATGTAGCAAAACTTCCCATTTTAATCCAGTTTTAAGTGTGCAATTCAGTGGCATTAATTACATTCACAAAGTTGTACAACCGTCACCACTATCTATTTCCAAAATTTTTTATCACCCCAAACAGAAACTCTGTAACCATTATGGGATCAAATATTTTGGCTATCAACTGGGTATGCTTGGTGTATTCCTCAGCTAGGGCTGACATAACAAAATGCCACAGACTGGGTAGCTTAAACAAACAAATTTATTTCTCACAGTTCTCAAGGCTGAGAAGGTAGGTTTCATTCTGAGGCTTCTGTTGGTTTGTAGGCGCCAGCATCTTGCTCTGTGCTTACAGGACCTCTTCTCCGTATGTGCTGGGGGTGGCGAAGCGGGGATGGAGACCTCTTGCTCTTCTTATAAAGCCACCAATCCCGTCCGATTAGAGCCCCACTCTTATGACCTCATTTAACTTTAATTACCTCCTAAGGCCCTATCTCCAAATACAGTCACATTGGGGATTAAGGCTTCAACATACGGATTTTGAGGGGACACAATCAGTTCATAGCCCTTGGGAATTATTTTGAAGTGAGGAAAACCTAACAAACTTTTAAATGAAATGAATTTTTTGATTACTTAATTTAACAATGAAGTTGATATAATGTTGTATTTTGGAGACATCTAATTTAGATTTTCCAATTTCAAGACATGATCGTGCTTACCATTTTCTGGAGTCTTCTCCTCAATCATTTCCCTCTTCCTGAGAGCCTATTCTGTAACTCTCTTCCCAGCTCTGTGTTTGGTATGTCACATTGGTAGCTTGAAATCAGCCATGGTGAGAATATTTACACCTTAGAAATTGGCAAATGATACAAAGCAGGGCTTCCCAAAGCTGGATTAGCCGCATGCCTCTTACTAAGCTAAACTATTTTAGCAAGTAAAAGCAGAAATGAGTAATTTAGAAAATAGTAGAATTGATGCATGGATTTAAAAGCTGCTTTGCTGAAAAATATTGATAAGATGTATATTAGTTATGTTCTGGCCAGGAAGATTGAACCCACACCAGGTACTTCAGTTGAGGGAATTTAGTTACGAGATCTCTGAAAGAGGAAGCAAGAGAAGGTGAGGCACTCAGAGCTGAGCAACTGCAGGAAGTTGTCACAGAGGGACAAAGGAGGTGGTGGGTGGGTGTGAGCAGAGTGGGGCCTCCTGGCAAAGCTGAGCAGTTATCCCCTCTGGCTAGAGCTGGGACCCTGGGGCTGCCCAGCAGACACTGGAACTGCAGGGGAGACAGCTGAAGACTGCAGGAAGGACAGAGAAGGAGGAGAAATGCCCTGGTTTCTCTCCTTCCACCCTCCAGTATCCTGCCAGTGCCATTGGCCAAGTCTACCTGGAGGTCACTGGCAAGGGAGCCTGGGCCATGCAGTGAGCAGGAGTCAGCACCCTGCAATGCAGACCGGTGCAGGGAAAGGACCTGGAAAGGACCCGAAGACAAATAGGCAAATGACTGGCACCATATTGAGCCTCTGCAATTAATCAAGAGAAAGGGGAAAAATGAATAAAATAGAACAAGGATATCACGACAGATCTGGAGAAGAAGAAATATAAGAGAATAGTGTACACGATGATATGTTAATTTGGAAATTATTTTAAATTTTTAAAGTATAAAATCTGATTATCCAGTATTTAAGAAAGAAAAAATATTCAAGGAGTAACAGAAAAAAGGATATTGGAGTGGGTGCGGTGGTTCACGCCTGTAATACGGCACTCTGGGATGCCGAGGCAGGAGGATAACTTGAGGCCAGGAGTTCGAGACCAGCCTGAACAAGAGTGAGACCCCCATCTCTACACAAACTGGAAAAATTAAGCCAGGCGTGGTGGCGAGACACACACACACACCCCTTAGTACAGGCATCGACGCTTTCCTAACCGTGGGAGCTGCTCAGTCTCCGTCACACACACACACACACACACACACACACACACACACACCCCTTAGTACAGGCATCGGCG